TGCACAGCCACAAGCCCAAGGCAAGTTTCCCACGCTGCCCTCTTGCTCCTCCCCAGGGACCTGTGGAGCAGGGAAATCTCCAAGGATGCCTGTGTCAGCTCACTGATTACCTACCATGTTACACAGCTATTGAAATGAGACAGGCACCTGCCCTCCCACACCAAATAAAACCAAGGTCAAGACAGAAAATACAACTTGCTCTCAGGGTGAGAGCTGGTCATGAACTTTTCAGCAAAGACACTGGGTTAAATTTGGTGAGAAGTACTAAAATGAAAGAGAATCTACACCAGAATGTCTCCTTGTTGAAAACAGACAATGGAGAGACTGTGGGGAGCTGCTGTTTTAGGTGCACTGGAAAAAACAGTATTTGTTTTATGATATGGAGATGAAAGTGGCACCACAGCCATCACCAGTGGGTGTCTGAGAGCAGCCAAAGTAAAGGGGCATACAGAAAAATGCTGTGCAAACACACACTGCAGCTACACCTTGCTAAGTCTGTAGTCACTTCCCTTCACCTTTGTTCACGGCAAGACTGCCTCCCAGATTCCTGACTCGTTAGAAGAAATTCTTCCCAACACTTGAGCGATGCGGGCACTTTTCTGCAACAGCCCAGAGAGGTCCTTCAGCTCCTCGTAAAGTGTACAAATCATGAAAGCCACATTGTTCTTCAGTATCAAACAATCTAATCCTGCCCACCAACCAATTAATAACAGGACAGAAAAACAACCAAAAAGCCACTTTCAAAGGGAGCTCTCTGGCAATTCCAAGACAGAGAAACCCTCTGGAACAGGAAATCTACTGTCGCAAAGAGGGTGCTGCACAGCTTTGCTCACTCTCCATTAGTAGGCCAGTGGAGCAATAAAGTGACATGGGTTTCCAAAGCAATGTTTGCTTTGGTGCCTAATCAGGCTTTACTCCACCTGAACTCTTGCTGACTTCAATGAGAGGGTAGATGGAGTGAAAAATGAATGAGGACTTGAAGGTTTGGCCCTTTACGAGCCAAGATTTAAGTTGTAAACTTATTTAAAGACACAAAAATCTCTGCAGCTGAACTCAATGCTGCTTTTGAACACAAACCTTGTTTGTTTTCTTTGTGTAAATCTTTACATGTTAGCATGATTAAATCTGCTGGGCAGGTGTCTCCTCATGTCCATGTTTGCTTTGGCACATGAGCTGCCCCTCTCACCTCTCCAAATTCATGAAAATTTAGTGTTAAATCCTGCCTTTTGTTACATGAGAGTGCCAGGGAGCCTCTCTCCCTTCCTAACCAAGGCGTGCTCATGTCACAGCTGGGCTGGAGTCCAGCCCAGCACTGCCAGGTGCCCAGGCTGGGGCAGGCAAGTGTGGGTACTCATCTTCCACAGGCAGGCAAGCATGGCATGAGATCCACATTAGCCCCTCATTGCACACTCACTCTCCTGCTTCTCAAGCTATTTCTGGAGTTTCCAGTTTTCTAAATACATGCTCACCCTGATTAATTCTCTGCTTTTGGAATTATCTGACTTTGTCATCATCCCAGCCTCTACCAAACTTAAGTTTTCAGCTGTCCAGATGAGACATATAAAGGAATAAGAGCATGAGCTGTTAAAGCTCAATATTATACACTTGCTATAATCTCCAAGCATCACTCTAATGCTGTTTGCAAGGTTTCTGGGACCCAGCTGTAGTGCCCAGGGTGCTGACACTCTGCCCTGCACAGACCAAACAGCTCCTCATCAACCACTTGCCTTGCTGTTCATTCCCAGCCACAGCAGGGAAAAACTGTGCACCTGCTTTTTTTGAGCAATACAAGCAAATTCAATTTTAGAAACTCTTCAAAGGGCCTAAGATTCAGAAAGCTATAACTAGTGAAGAGCACTAGTGAAGACATTTGTTATTACCCCAGAAGAATGTGCCTAGCAAGAACAGCTGTCAGGGTGAAGATCCTCTGAGATAGGATATGAATATATAGGTATCAAATGGCACACACAGCTCACCCAGAACTCCTTCCCAAAGCACTGCAAGGATCCAGGTGATATCTGCCCACATTTAACAACAATTCAGCTGAGTCACAGCAAACTGTTGGCATCCTCTTGTGCAAGTCTAGAGGCACTCAATGCTTTCCAGGCTTTGCAAACTGCTTTTTGTTTAGCAGACTAGTTCTGAACACTCAGATCTTGCACCTCATTTTTTGTCTAAGATCTAGGAAATGAAAAAAAGCAATTAGCTCCCTAAATCCTGCTCTTATCTATAATTGCGTGTGAGCTTTTTTGTTGTTTGTTTGTGAAAAACATTGAACAAAACCAGTGTCCACCATGTAGGCCAGGAAAATAGACCCCAATGACAGCCAGCTTATCTTCCACAGCTGCCTGAACAGACCAGCACCCAATGGGCATGTTCTCAGGAGCACTTCCAGCCAAGGACTGAGGTGACAGATGGACTCGTGCAGTTTTTACACAGCTCTCTATTTTCTATAAGAAATGAGAAGAGTCCTGTTACTTTCCCTTCCTGCACAGTGTCACATTGCCAGAAATACCCCAAGAGCAATGGGGCTGTGGGCAGGAGGGGAGAGCAGAGCATGCACCTTAGCACATGTTTCCACCAGCTTCAATGAAATATTTGAAAAATAAGGAACATGAACCAGAGAGTCTAACTGAAGAAAGCTCCCACTCTATTTCTTTCCCACCCTCATCCATCCCTTTGGACAAGCTCACGATTTCTAGCAGGTGTGAAAGAGCCATGAGACAAACAAAAGAGATAAAAGACAGAACAACTCTGAAGAGGAGTGGGGAGGCCACAACACAAGCACAGCACACCAGCTCCAAGCAGGCAGAGGCACTCTACCATTATCTAGTTCACAGATGGACCACCCAGAAAATCTGGGAGCAATTAGGAATGAGAACAAACAAATGCATGGAAAGAAGGGGGGAGGGAAAATGGGAAGGAGGGCCAGAAGGGATTCCTTACATCATCTCCATGCAAGCGTTTCGAGAATGAAGTGAAGCTATATGGAGGAGGAATGCAGATGAAAGAGTTTGCAGTGAGAATGCAATAAAGTAAAAGGCTATGAAAACATGGAGTGTATGAACGAATTACAACATGGCCATGAAATTTACAGAAAGTCAGGACAGTGTGTAAACAGAGAAGAAACCCATCAAGCTCTTGGAGACACAGACAGGCACATATAAACAAATCAAATGCTGACTGTCTCTCTCTCACTGTTAACAGCAATTCACCCACCCTGCAACCCAGGGATGCACCAGGCACAAAACTGACTCATGTTCCTCTCTGACTGTCAATAACAGGCATTAAATACTGGCAGGAAAACACAAATGCTTTGAACCAGCACCGGTATAACTTCACTTAAGTGCATGGATAGGAGCCACAGCAACACCCAGGCAACTCACAGAGCTCATACCAGAGCTATGTGCCTGGGAACAATCAGTTTTCTGCTGGTCTGGTTTCCACTTACCTGGCATCTAATCACACTATCAGTCAGCACTTCACAACACCACGTTACACCTTTCTTGTCTGGGGAGACTGACCTGATTTTGGTACTAAGTGCTTTGCCTTCAACTGACTTCAAAATGACTGCTCAGCCTTCTAAGAACAAGGCCCATTATTTAATTAAATGCCTGATATTAAGCATCTTTGTTGGTTATAATTGTGGCATAGAAGGTTGCCTTTGTTGCTGCAAAGTTTGTTTTCTCTTCTTAAATAATTTGATGTGCAGTTTGTGACTTTTGCTACTAAGCAGAATTTATAAACTCTGTTTTGCTGGATCCAGGAGTCGCAGCAGAAAAATTACTCAAAAACTGAAGATACCAAGTGTTTTGAAGTGATCTTAATCAATAACACTGTGTTTACTTTGTCTTGGCCTCTGAGAAGCAAACTCTGGTCCCTAAGGACATCTTATAAACACATTAAAGTTCACACAAGCTTTTTTAAAAGCTTTTCAGTTTACCATAATCTCAGTAAATCACTGCCTGATAATTTTCCCTAAAACCAGTCCTTATTAACACACAAATTCAGTTGAAAAAAATCTACTATCTGCTTGTCTTAGCAGCAGCTAAAATATGGCAATTAGTTTACCTTAGAATAGACATCAAAGGCTCAAAGGATGACCCTGCCCCAGAAGAACAAAATCTTTTAAAAGCCCCATTCCACTCAGTTTGCTAGTTTATAAGGTTTGCTAAAATCCGGTTTAATGATCATGTCGTTTCTTAGCAAGTCATGTGGTGCCATATTGTGTAAGGAACAGAAGAGTTAGTTCTAAAACCTTTTTGAACTTGGGGATCTTTTCCGACCAGCTGATGCAGAACCACATTCTGAGACGGTAAATGAAACTGTTGGATGCAAAAGCCTCACCATGATTTTCTTTAGCTTCTTTCAGAAGAGACAAAAGTTCCCACACAACACATACTCTCTGTGTACAATGAAAGATTCAATAATAGCAATATATTCAAGTCCATATGGTGTGGTTATAAGGAAGAGGCACAATGAGAAACTGAGAACCCTGAAGGCAAGAGACCTGCAAGCTGTAGTGAAAAAAGCAAAAGCATAAAAAAAACCCTTAAGGTGAAACTGAACAAGGTTGTAGGGCCCAATGGATTAAACCAGTTCTCCTTTTAGCTACAGTCCTAATATCCTGTGCTGCTGACAGTTCCCTCCCCTGACATGGTTATCTTTTTGTTTTGTTTTTTTTTTTTTTTGATGACATAACAAAGTGCATTGAAAACCAGCCTGCCTCAGTGGCCAGGTAAGAGCACTACATGTTAGCAGGCAGGAGACTGAGCAGCAGTTTCCAACAGACCCTCACAGCAATAATGCAGGAGAAATGAAAATGGAAGGGCTGGTTTATGTGAGGGAAACAGACACATATGAAAGGGAACAGCAATAAATAAATAATACAGGAGAAGAAGCCTTATTAGCCTGTCTACAATCAGATTTTAATAGTGAATGAGAAATAGGGAGGGGAGAGGAAAAGAAGGGTCTGGTTTAAACATTTAGCACAGACTTGCCTCTTTCCATTACTATCACGAAGCATGGCTTTTCCCAGTTCTCTTGTCTTCGTTTCCAACTCCTTAACTTGCTCCAGCAACGTTTTACGGTAGGTATGCTTCGCCCTATACCGCAAGGAAAGGACAAAAAACAAAACAAAAAAGCCATGTGAATATTGTTTTGCTACAAACCCCCAGTTTTACCTCTCAGGTGAGAGGCACAGGGCTCTCCCTTGAAGGATTTGGGAAATAAAGTACAGTGTATGCATGTTAGTTCACGCTCACAATACCTGGGGAAAAATACATACGAAATGACAAATCAGGATGACTTCAAATTAAAGAGAGCTCAGCCACTTCAACACAGCACTCAAAACCTAGCCAAGCAGCAATGCTATGGGACCACAGAGACCTGACCCTGCTGCCGTGGGACTGCTCAGGACCCGGGTACTCAGACAAAAGAGCTGGGATTCATTGAATATTCATGGCAGTAAAACATGAATCCACTCTGTCTTTTGAGCTACGCGTGGCACCGCTCTGAAAACCAGAGCGGAGTCTCAGCTAATAATTGCCATTCAAGCCCCTTGATTTTCATTTATCAGTCTCCTGTGACTGGAAAGGCACTTCTCTCCTCAATGAACTTCCAAACTGACAGTGACAAGACTGGCTGCGTCCTCCTACTTTTTCAGCTTGAGGATTCAAAGAGTAATCCATGCACCACACATGCAATCAAAATTTAGAGTGCAATCTAGAGTCCCCCATGAAGAGACTTGGACCTTTCCCCCCATGCCAGGTTCACCTACTGCTCCAGGGCTATTATACCTAAATTACATTGACATAGAGGAGACAATCGAGTCCCCTTTTTCTTTCTTGACCTGTACAAAGCAAGAACACAAAATGCAGGGATCTTTCTCACATGGGCAGTTTTTGATCAGCTTCGTCTTTTGTGCCAGTAAAAGGAGGACAAATGTCCCATGAGAATATACTGATTTGCATGTGACTGCACAATAAGCCTACAAACAAGATGGAGCCAAGTCGGCTGAGACACTACTTGCTTCATAGCATTAAATTAATATTCTTCAGCTCAAAGGTGGCAAAAATTTCTTTACAAGTTTTATAAAACATGCAGACATTAAAATCTTTAGCCAATGATATAAAACAGTGTAAAACTCCCTCTAACAGAAAAATAACAACAGGCGTATATGTAATTAAAAATAATGTAGATGCATTTATTTTTAAAAAGTATCATACTATTGCTCCTTCTACAGGGAATAAGAAACAAAGACCACAAAATGTTTGCTGGCACTATTTATAATGACAGTGCCTTGATACTGATACTAGGATATCTAAGTTCTCTGGTCTTTGTGTTGCTGAATTATGCTCCAAATACTGAAAAATGAGAAGCTAAAATGAAAACAACTTTCAAAACACATCTGTAGTTAAGAGAATTAAAAAACCAAAAAAAACCAGAAGATGAAGCACAGCAAAATATGAAGGTAAAGATTATCAGGATGTACTTAGAATGGTATATTGTTAAAACAAACCACCAAAGGTGTATGATTTGTAACAAACACCAACATACTGTGTCAAAAGAAATGAGCAGCAAGGGTATTTTTAAAATGCATAATGCTTCTGCAATGTGAGATTACCAACAGCTGCACAGAAATTAATTAGATTCAAGTTGCTATAACTAGTTAGGCCAATGATTAGACTGGTCTCCTCTTTGAGGAAGGGAAAGTATAGCTATTAAAATGAGAAAGCTTTGAGGCTATTAATTTTTATAAGCTTTTCAGTTGAATTCACTATCACAGTCTTTAATTTAAATAAATACATTGAAATTTTGACCTTCATCTCTTCCCTTTTAAAGAGGTCATCCCTACTGCAAACTTCAAGACTGAGCATGTTTAGAATTTTTCAAATCCTTCACAACCAGTTTTTCCCCACCAACAAGAACATAGAAATGTTATTCATGTTATTCAATCTCTTCCAAAGTTCCATGTTTATCTTGCCATAAGCCATAAGATATGTTCTTCTTTTCCCTTAGAGTGAATACTGAATTCAAAATTTGACAGAATGGATCCTGATCAACAAGTCCAGTTTGTGCAGCACAGCACCAGGAGGCATGACACTGATATGATACAACATGGAAGAAATACTGTTGGCCTGAAATTGGGAATAATGAAATGTTTTGTAAGTAGTGTGAAATGATGAAACACATGGGCTCTTCTGGGGCTGGTAGTTGCTATGCATTGAGTCACTCCTTCACTTGGAAGCAAGAGCACCCATGGAATGGTCAGTAATCAAGTATTATCAATAAATATAAGAATATGAAAAAGGCCTGAGGAACCTATCCACATGTTCCTTCAAAAAAAAAAAAAAAACCCAAAAAACTGAAATATGGTATTACAATTGCCTCAGAGTCTGGGTTTGCTCCTATCAAAGTCAACTGCAAATATTCCACAGACTGCTGGCAACAGGACTGGATACTACTTCATGACTTTTTCCCTACAGCACTTTACAAACTTTTGATTCACAGAAATACAGGTAGGATTCTGAGCTTTTAGGTTAGTACTCCACAAGTGACCCTGGATGTACAATCAGTCCTCAGTGAACAGTGAGATTTTGTGTTTGCTGTTACTGTTCAGCTAAAATTTGATGCATTACATAAAGACAAACTCACCTCTCCCTCACATGCTGGGATTTTAAGATCAGGGACTGCAAGAACAGGCAAAAGGCCATCTTTGTATTTTGTGTAGCCCTTCCCCTTCAAAGCCAGGGAAGTGTATCATTTCACTGGCCTAGGATATTTAGGGGGTTCAGGAGGCCAGAATCTGCCAGGGAGAAGCATGGTGACATTCATAAATGTTTCTCAAACATGGCACTATCTCTACTCTGGCTTATCATCCTCAGTACCACTTTATGAGTCTTGTATTTCAGGGACTGCAAGTATATGCAAAGATGGGAAGAGCTCCTTTTATCTTCTTCTCTTACTTGCACTGCAGAACTGGCAAGTGCAAAGTGCTTCTTCCTCGTGGTAAAAAAAAAAAAAAAAAAGTTCATTAAAATTTTGGTAATGATTTGAAGGCTCAGGAAATTTTTCACTGTAAAATAAGCACCGAGACACCAATTAGGAATAAATTCTTGCACTCTTCTCTGATATTGCTGGAATACATGCTGTGTTTTTATGATTCCCACATACCTCTGTGAGTCAGCTATTCCAAGATTTCCTAGAGCCAGTGACAAGTATTCAAGTGACATGTGCCAGCTGTGAGGGAGCACTCACCTTACAAAGCTCTGTTCATTGCAATGGTGGCACAACTATGCAATGGTGGCCAGTATTTTTACAAGGCACTGAATTCAGGGTAGTGGACCAAAGTTAACAACGTATTGCAACCAAGAATTAATAATAAGCTTCCTTCTCTTTAAAAAGAGTTTTCCACATTTCCTTGATTCATTTAAAAGAAAAAAAAACCAGAAAATAAAAAAGCCTGGAGCCACAGAGAACATGGGAGGTAAGCGATGTGTTGACAACTGAAGCCTTTGTAACAATGGAAACATGTTCTTACTTCCAGCATTAGAAATTTTGATAGCAGATGCAGCACAGCAGTTTATAAGCAAAAGATTTGTATGTGTCTGAAACACACTTTCCAATCAGCCTTGTTCCAGACTAAAACTCTGTACTGTGTTTATGGCTTTCTAGCAGTATTTTGTACTGAAATTAGACATGTACCTTTTGGGTCATACGGATGTTCTGTCTGTGGACATGTGCTTCATGTCCAAAAGAAACTGAAAGGGATAAATTCCATGACCATGAGCAGTCACAGTTGCTGGAATTTTATAGCCAAAACCATATTCTGCTGAATTACAGAGAGCAACGTGGTGTAACCACTGCTGTGGAAATGTGCCAGCTGATTTCCAGAGGCCTTAGGCTCCAGTTTTAAATGGCAAGCCTCTTGGAAAGGAAACAGACCTTTACTCCTTCCATATGGCAGTACTGATAGCTGTGTCATTTCATTTATCCTAGTTAAAATGTTAATGATGTTAATTTTTCAGTGATCGCTTAGTTTAAAAAAAGAAAAAAATAAAGATCCTGGTTAGAGAACAGATTTTTAGCTTAATATTGTTAGGAGCCTCCTGTTTAAAATCTGTTGGGAAAATATCTGGCCTATCAATCACATGTTTGTCTTGAGAGCTTCATAGTCTCTATACATTGTCAGTCTGAATGACTGAAAGGATTATGATGCTGAGATTTCTTTAAGAAATATTAAAGAACAGGCTCAGTCAGTAACAGAGTTTGAAATGACTAATAGCTGAGGATGAGCCTGCCATGGTCTAGCCTGTTTAACAATTCATGAGTCATTTTTGCCAAGAACTGATAAGAAAAGAGGACAACTTCAGGACACTCAACTACCATGAAAACATTAAAAAAGCTAAAGTTTTTTTTTTTTTTCAGAGTTTAAACAAGCAGGTCACAGACACAGTAAAATATCTAAATTTAAACATTTTGGCCTCAGTTTTAGAATTTTAAAATCATTTGCAATTGCAGAAGTTTAGCGAGTGCAAAAAAAAAACCAAAAAAAACCAACTCCAAACCTCTGATGTGCTGGACTATTAAATCATAGTTGAAATTTCACATTACAATATCTAGATTTAATTTCAGCAGTCTAGCTTGTGAAAATTAAGCTGATGGACAAAATTTAAGAAGTACTTACTGAGTGGCCGATTTGCCTACTACCAGTTTAATTTCATTGTGCTATCAACCCCATATGAAGTAAAACCAGATTTTCTGATCTGTGCATATGACTTACCTTTCATGAAGGTGTTTGAAATGTGCCTATGCTTGGGAAACTTTCTGTTTTTTTTAGTATTTTCTGCATGTTTCTGTAAAGCAAACTGGTGGACTTGGCAGTGTTAGTTTTACAGCTGGACTCAATGATCCCACAGGTCTTTTCCAACCTATATGGTTGTATGATTCCAAGAATCTTCCCTGATCGACCAACTCCCATTCTGGGAGCAAATGTGTCATGATGCTTTCACTGTGAGCCTTTCTGACAAGTTACAAGATAATCTTTCCTCTTCATTCCAGGCAGGATTCTGCCTTTTTGCCCCAGAGTTGGAATGTCTGGGGTCCCCCTTGCACAAAGGTATTATGTACCTATGTAAAAAAACCTTCTTAATTGTAACACAGCCTTCCAAGGGAAAAGATGGAAGGTTTGGTGCATAAAACACTTAGAAGTCAGCTGAACAAAAGGCGACAAATTCTAAATTAAAATTATTACTTCTGTATTTCAAATTGCAATGGCAGAGACGGTAAATTGCTTCCCTTTAAATCCAAGTTCTTGAAATTGCTTGCCTTCTGCAATGCTTTGAAGCCCCAAAATTTTGAGAGAAGGGAATTACACAGGCTTGTATTTCACCAGTTTGTTCCTCCTCTCTGGGCAGTGAAGGTACCATTAAGATTTCACTTCAAACATAAAGAGCAGAGTATTGCTCTTATCCCAGTTCAGTCTTCAAAGACCCAGTTGCTGAAGGAGAACCTAAAAAGCAGCTGACAAAGAGCTGAGAGATTCCTGGCTATGGATTAAGAGTGCCACATTTCTACTTTCTACTTAACCTTAGTCAGATTCAACAAATTATTTGCTCCATTTTCAAGAAATCTCAGACATTCAATTTAAATTTGTCTTTAACTGAAGCATAGACAACACAAGTAATCCTAAAGTGACATACCCTCACTACTCAGACAAGGCCACCTCCTCCAGATTCCCTCCCCCAGCCATTCATTCTCTCACATTGCTGGGTGCCATGGCAGGTGAGGAATCACCCACTTCACCTTTTTTCCCTTCCAAATGAGTACCACCATTTTGCAATCACTGAGAGACTTCAGAGTTCTTCACAGAACAATACTGGACTGGACAACACGTGCATAGAGAATAATTCCTACAACACCAAGAAGACTGGTTTGGGACTTACGCTGTCCATGCCACGTCTTTAACAAGGCACGCAGTGGGCACAAGAAACAAACCAAACCAGAAGTATCCACATCTTAACACCATTCCAGCCTGTGAAGAAAACAAACAAATAACTCATGAGTGTTTTCAAGCTGTTACATGTTAAGTGGTTGTTTACAAGCAAAAAGGTAGAGTGATGGCATCAAACTAGTACTGCATCCACAGTCTGGGTGATGTTGAAATGGAATGGTGGGGCAATAACAAACAGTGATAGCATTTTTCAATAATTCCTTATGACATCAAATTTCTTAAACATTTCTGAAAAATTATGCATCCTCCAACAATATTAAATTGTGGATCCAGGCAGACACTTTTTTAGTCATGGAGAAGAGCACTCTAAGTATATTCTGCTTGCACTTTTGACTACCTTTTGTACCCTTTGCTTACTCTCTTCCCATCTACTGTCTTAAATCTCTGAGCAGCATCAAACTGACATGAAAAAAAAATATATTTCTCACTAAAATGTTTCAGTCATATTCCACTTAAATACAGCACTTCCTGCTCAGGCTACTGCTGCCTGAAACCCAGGGTGGGAAAAATTCACTCACGTCCCACAAATGGCTTTTTTTACAAACAAAGAACTCAAAGTTTATATTCGCGTTTTTCTCATTGTTGTAATGCTTGAAGAAAAAGCTTGGTGGGATTGGAGAATGAAGACATTTGGAAACCCTGCATATTCCAGCATACACAAATAGTTATGGAATGCTGTTGAAATACAGCACTATTTACAGAAATGCTACTTTAGATCACTAGAACCTTTTGCAGATAAATTAAAAGTGATTAAAGTTTGAGACTACCTCATCACCCCTTCCATGGAATATACGTATTTCCCATCAGCATTGTTAAGTTTTGCTACACATTAGAAAGGACTTTTTCCCCCCTGTAACTACTTGTGTGCACCACAAAACTGAAATAGAGGCTGAAAGATTTCAACAGCATTTCCAGTGTCTAGACAGATTTTGTTCTCCTCAGTTACGGACACTGCTCTCTTTTCCAAAATCTTCTCAGCAGTTTTTATGCCACACACAGGCACCTACTGATATGTCAGCAGTGTATCACAGGCTTGGCTGGCTCAGCTTTGTCTCACGCTGTAGCACACAAGCACTGCAGTGCTGAAGTGTCAGGCCATGGTACAGGTAAAGACACAGCTGAGCTACCCAGGAAATGGAACTACATGAAACACCTACTTATCCTTTGAATACACTGAAGACAAAATTTGTAGTTATACACCTCCTAAGATGAGAATTATTGCTCACAACAGTAGACTTCCACCACTCACTCCAGTAAAGCTCTTAAACTGAGAGAAGCCATCACAGGGCTCTGACAGGATGTGCACCAGTAGCATCCAGCATCTTCTCTCAGTGTCATTCTCTGTCTAGAGCTGTTCATCTAACAACTCAGTCATATTTAGCAGCAACTTGCCCTTGGGTTGCCCAGTAGTGAGTACATCCACAAGTGGTTTTCACCTTTAAATGTTAAATCCTACATGTCACTGCTGGACCGACGCATCAGTGTACTGATCTTGTACTGAAACCAAGAGCAAGCTAGACTGTGCTAAAACATTCATGGACACTTTGCCACCCGCACAGACAGTAAACAAACACATTCCAGTCACAGAATCAGCTCTCCACTATTTGGGAGCCCTCATGCCCACATTCACATGAGAATGCCAGAAGTACACAAACAGTTTTGATCTATGCTTGTTTAAGGAAAAGGATGCACAGGAATAAGAGGGAATTAATAACTTTATTGGTAGCCAAGAAGTTGAACTGTAATAACAGCGGTAAAACATAATAAGATTTATCCTCATGCTTTGCTTTTCTTTGGCCATGACCCTGCAAGTGTTAGGAGTCACAGAATCACATCAGCATTTCCATTCACCATCCCTCCTCTGTCTATGCTAATAAAGGCTAAAAAAGTGACACAGTATTCTATATGCATTTTCTGATATTTTTAATTGAAATATTTTACATTCCACTTCTTGCTTTTCTAGCCGAAAGCAACTTGACACACTTTCACAGTGCAGAACATTCTGAATATGTGTACAATAGAAGTTAAAATGCTATTATTTTTGTTACAAATGCTGACATCTCAATCAATGGCTATGAATTTGGACATGTGGCATGTTGGAAAAAACCTCAAAGCCAAATACTTTTTGCCTGCAATTATGTATTTTACTCAAGTATTATTCTGTCCAAAAACTTCATCATAATAGTAAAACTATTCATCTCATTGGAACCCTGTCCGACACTCATTTTACTACTAGGAAGGCTTTTCCCATGCAGTCCTCATCAAGGTTTTACTCCATTCCTCAGCTCATCTGGAAGATTTCTTTCCTGATCATCTCTAGTTTCCTCTTGGACTTAGAAGACTGCTGTGCTTTACAACAGTCTGGTCTGTCTTGCATGCACAGCTCTGCCCCTGAGCACAGCCTCCTCCCTCACATGGTTACCCCCTTCTCACAGGATGGGAGCTCCTCAGCAGAACATTCACAGCAAATCACCCAATGTGCTCTGGGGACATCCATCGACAGCACTTTTAGGTTAGTCCCGAACTCGTAGGACAGAGCTGGGTTATGAACAGAAGCTGCAATAAGAGCACCTATTTATCCCTACAAAGCTTTCCTCACGCTTCCCAGCTGTTGCTGTGCTCCATTCCAGTTGCTCAGCCAGTCATGACAACAGTGAAGACAGTACTGCAATACATCTTCAGTGAAACATGGCATTTCTATACCCAGTTCCTGTGAATAACACTCTTCAACTATCAGTTATCACCCCAAGATAAAAAAAAAAGCAGATTCCAAACAGAAACCACTGCAATTCTCTTTTCGTCAAGATCATCACACAAAGCAGGAGTAGAAATAGGTTGTTTCTGAAACAAATTCTAAATATTGACCATCTCTGTCATCACAGAGGCCCCATGATATGTAACTAAGTAATTTTTGTTCTGTCTACTGATGTAAACATTAGTGACTATCACACCCAAGGTGAACTGCCAGAGACCATTAATCATAATGCACCCCCAAAACCACTTGAGACTAATGCAAGTCCTCCTTCTGAGAACACTGCAACTTAAACTGCAGCCACCAGTAACTGCCTTTCAAACATTGATTAATCTGCCACAGACAAAGCATTCATTTTAGAAAATTGATAACATTTGTTAAAAATAAAGAATGGGAACAAGAAAAGAAAGAAAAAGAAGTTAGCTCCAGTTATTTTGCAACTGAGGAGGAAATAATTTAAGTCCCAATGCCTTTAACATCTTCTAAATAGCATTTTTAAGGGCGGACAATTTCTTTTTTTTCATTTTAAAAACATTAAAAGAAGTAATAGCACTGATCAACAGCACAACCAGCATAGAATGACCAGGAAGATTGTCTTTCTACTATTATTTTAGAAACCATAGGTTAAGGTGGTTTTACATTTGTTGGTTGGAGTTTTTGTTCTTTGCTTATTGTAACTCAAGGACATGTTATGCACAAGCATATGAAATAGAGAATAGATTGTTAAAAAAAACACCTTAAATTGCAATACAATCTGGAGCACATGTCAAGCTCTCTTCTCCATTTTACTATTCTTAGTATGTTCATAAGCATCATTCCTTGTTGTACTGTTTTACCAATAGGTGGTGTCACTATTTTCAACAACTTCCAAGGAGAAAAAGGCCAAAAGTGCCCAGGGATGGGAAGTCAATATACACTGTTCTGGTATTCTTATCACAGCATGGTTAGACAGCTGGGGACCAGTAAATGATTCAGACAAAGCAAGCAAGGATCTCAATCATATCACTCAAGAAAAATGAGACAAAATTAAAATTCCTATTTTGAATAATGAAAGTTTTTTTTTAATTTCATTTCCTCATATATCTACGTATCTTAACTTTGACAAAAAAAGGACAGTAAAATATAAGATCATGATGGAAACAGCTGGCTTTATATTTCCAGCACAAAAAAAATTATTCCTGGAAGTGTGCCTGGAGCCTGATCACAGCTCTCTCCATGAGACATGGATAAGGACCCAATAAGTCACTCAACTGCAGTTTCATACTTATTCAATTCCAGCTTTGTGCACTAGGGATTCAAGTGCAACTTGAACATCACTGGGTCCCCAGTACTCAAATGTGGATGACAGCATGGCACTGCCTTTGGCAGCACTTGGGAAAGGAGGAGAGAGGGAGAGGATGGCCACATGATTATTGTGAGGGACAAGAAATACTCACTGTCATCACTGAGGTACTCTTGATCTGGACTTGGCAGACACTGATGACACCAGTGGCTGGAGCTGCAAGTGCAGCTCTGGGAGCTGGGCCCTGCTGCTCCACCTGCTCTGCCTGGGCAGCCAAAGCAGGAAGCAGTGAATGCCCAGCTGCACAAACACAGCTGGAGGCAGCAACTGAGATGCACCAGGTGGACCTGTCTGCCAGTGCCTCCCCTCCAGCAGTTCTAGACCAGTGGCTTGGTTTGAGCACACCACGTCAGAAGGGCTAGAGCTGGGGCAGGGGAAGCCCAGTTGGTCACTGTGCTTCCATCCCATGTTAGGCAATTCACATGGAAGCTTTTCAGTCACTGAGGGCAGCGTCTTCAAAGCCTGCCCCTGCCCATCGACCTGAGGTGCCACTCCTGGGCCCCCAGGCACAGACATTTTGCCACTGGTGCTGCTAGCTTGGGCAAACAGTCCTGCTTCACTTAAGTTCCAGTGTCCCATCTGAAGGCACGGGGTATGGACAAACATATTACTCTCTTCGAGAAGTTCAAGCATTAGCACCGAGACACATGGCAGCAATGCTCTGAAAACTCTCAGATTCCTGCAAAAGATGGCCTTTCTTCTGCTCTATAGACTCAATAGGACTAATTCAAATACTGCTTTAAATGTCTAGGAAATAGATTCAGTAGAAAGTAAAACACCTTCTGCCTCAATCTTGAAATTGTTGCACTTTTAGTGATGTTCCAACTTTGACATCTTTACTGCAGGTTTGTTCTTTTCTCTTTTTTTTTCTAATTTTTAAAATGCTTCTCACAAGTAAATTTGGTCCCTAACTTCAGTAGGAAGAGA